GCAGGAAATTAATATTTGGAAGTTTTAGAAAATGTAACTGCTGCATATTGAAATGACAAGGTGCTAATATTACATTTCAAAATGCCCTGTGTAGCAGATATATAAATATAATTCAATTTCTAAATACATCCAAACAGCCTATCCATTAAATGTTTCTGAGTTACAGAATAAATGAAATATATTCAGCAGGGAACAGTTGTAATCAATGGCTTTCACTCTTTGATAACTATAACATTTATCATCCTTAAAGGAGAACTATGAGGTGAGTGCTTTTCACTCACCTCATAGTTCTAGCCGACCAGTGACAATGAGACTGTCACATGTCGGCTCAGTAGATCGGGAGGTGAGCGAACACATACCGGGTTCGCTCGCCTCTCGATCCTGTCACGGCTCTCGGCCGTGACAGGGGGAGAGGCTGGATTCCCCTCTTCCCGCTCCGATCTGCCAGCGCTGACTGGCGGAAGGGACGGGGGAGGGGGCGGGTACAGCTGGCTCTGCCTCTAGATAGGCAGAGCCAGCTGTCACTCACGCAGCTGGGCGGATCCCTTAATCTACGTCGGGATCCGCTCCGGCTGCGGCGTCTCAGTATACCGTGAGCTACAGCTGAGGGTAACGGGAGGACGCTAGTTTGTGTCCTCCCCTTACCCTAAAGAGAACTATGGGGAAAAATACTGACCCCATAGTTCTCCTTTAATAGATTCAGTTTCTCTATAACTAAATGGACAGAAAATATCCTGTGGCACCAACTGTCTAATACATAAACACTAATAAGCAGAAGTGTTTTTGTCGTTACTGCTAGTAAAGGAATAGGAACATCATCATAATTGCAAATGTGAAGTGTTTGTGTTTGTTAAATAGCTAGTACAATTTAGGAAGGGTACATTTTATTTGAAATTTACAATTTAAATAGAACTATAAGTGTGACTGTGACTCCTGATGCCATTAATAACACCCTGGGTTCTGGGATTACCAAGTTACTTGATATTTCCATTATCAACACTTTCCTTTCTGAAACACAAGGGAGTGCCAGAGAGTAGGTAGATAACTGCTAAAGCATTGCAAGTTGGCCTGTAATTACACATTCAGAGTAAAGCTCACATAAGGTAATTTACCATTGATGTGCAATGCTCTATGCAACATTTCCTGGAATTGATAAATATGTTGTAGATAGTATTTAGTAATTTGGTAATCTGTTTTTTTTTAGTTCTAATCTGGACAGATATAAAAGGCGCTCTAAATCAAACCCGTTTCTGTAGGCAACAACCTTGGCTTTCATCAGTACTTTCTAGGTTCCATTGTGGACAGGTATGCATGTAAGGGATGAAGGCAGCTTGTAAATGCTGCAAGGAACATTATTCAATCTGAAGTAGCCTAGGGCTATATAAATAAATAAAGAAGAAATAAGAAATAAACATAAATTGCAAACAACCAAGAAATGCCAGCGTCAGCAAATTAGAAGCCTATAAAATAAGTAAGCTTTTGGGTGCTTTTTACCGAACCAAAATGACCAGAAATGTTGACAATACCTACAAGTTTGTCCATATACAGCATTAGGAACAAGTAAGAAAAGTACAGAAATTATACTGATCAATCATAAAAGATGTAAGCTACAAAACAATTAAACCACAACCCCAGCTTGGTTGGACAGTACTCCCTAACAGGGCCCCATCCATATTTAAATGTTTAATATTTCTTGTTTACATGCCTTCATTCAGAGGTCATTTAACATGCAGTGTCCTATTCCTCTTTCCTCTGATTCAACCCAGAAGAGCAGCAGCAGGACAAGGTAGACTTTCTGCAGTGGACAGTGCTGGAGAAAAGGTGGGCAATTCAGCAAAGGCTGCTCTTTTACTTTCACAGGTATGGCCGACGCTCCTTCTGCATTCTCAGTGTGACGTCACACGCTGAATGAGCGGTGGCCATATTGGCCGCCGGCGCGTTCTGTGCAGGCAGGTGCGCCGCCATCTTTGAGTGTATCTTGGTATACACCCAGATGGCAGCGGTGCTCACTAATAAACTAAAAATTGTTTTACATGTTAATATAAAGGGTTTAAGTTAAAGATTACAATATATTAGCACATTGAGGTAAACTGGCCTAGAGTGAAAGTTTCCAATATATACAGTATATAAGCATAAAAATGTGCTACAACATTCTTCAGCATTGTGAGAGAGCCATTCATTAAACAGGAGAGATCATTATGGGCTTTAAGAGAGAAACCCAGTTCTCTGGTTTGTAGTCCACTGCTTGGATCTAGGATGACTAACCAAATCACTCCTCCAATCCTGCACTTTGACCAAGGTAGTGAAAGTGAAAAACTGCTCATTTGCTTAAAGATCAACAATAGTCTTTTCTTTCAGTGCAAGTTTGATATAAAGGTCTTTAATAAGTGCTGACACTCTGTTCAGTTTCTTCTCTACCGGATCAATTTTCTTTTCATTGGAAGCAACACAGTATAGAATAAAGGTATAGCAACCTTCCAGACCAAACAGCTGAATTGGGGGCCAAACCAACGGTGACTTATCTGGGCACATCTATGTTGATAGAATGCACTTTCAAGGAGATCTTTCCTGTGGCTGTGAAAAAGATCATGGACATCTTGTCAATTGATTAAAACCTGGAAACTATCCACACAAAATATTATATACTTTGGGAGTTAAAACTTGTTTTTTTAGGTTTTTTTGTCTCTGACCCTATTGGGGAGATGTTTCCTGTCACCCATATAAGAAATAGAGGGGTGTGGGGGTCCCAGCCCAGGGTGGCATGGACCTCAGTAAAAACATTTTCAGAAGTGCTGTGCTTCTTACCACTCCATTAAAAATATATTTTGGTCTGTGTTCCCAAAGAGATTTCTCATCACTCCCTTTCCTGACAGCAATAAAAATCTATCAGAAGATCTTACTGTTCCCTGTGTAAAAAGCTTTGGCTGGAGTTTGGCTCTAAAAATGGGAATGAATAGTCTTTTCAATTTTTGTTTTTAAATATACCTGTAAAGAGATCAGCTTGATGTAAATAATCTTATCAATAATTGATAATCTTAAAAAAAATGTTTCTTAGTTTGCAATTATACATGTAGATAAAGGCAGATATATTTTCATAATAAATATTCATGACCCTCTTCCTGCTGTGCGATGCTACACAATGACTGTGATTACCTTGTCAAAATAGAAGTGTGTGAGATGAACGTTGCTTTGAAAACAATGTCCTTCCTGTGAGCTTGATATCTAATCTTAACAGCGGCTTAGTAGTTAGCCACGGTCACTGTGCTAGCTAATTTACCTGCACCTACTGGTAAAAGTAATGCTCTCACCGAACATAAAGGAGTGCCTACTTTCAAGATGGACATTCCAACAGCACAGATTTGATATTTTGGATGGCATATATAGGTTACCAATGATGTTATGTAAAATTGTGCAGCACATGTCATCCTTTAGCATGTCACTTCCAGACAGATAAGGTTTTACTGTTTCTTGGCTATGAATATCCAAATTTGCTACGGATTTGGTGATATATACCCATATAGTACAAGAGACAATAGAAGCAGTAGTAAGAAAACTGAAAATAATGTACTGATGGATAACTTTGTTATCAGTGGATATCTACTGGTCTTGGAAAACTTTAAAATGAACTTTGTAGGTACCTTAAAGGTATTATCTACAAATCAGATTATTGAGGAGATTATTTTGCTGTGGACCTAATCTGGCAAAAAACTGTCCATGTATTAAGCACAGGCTATTCCTACAGCCAGTGTCCACTTAAATATTGTACGAATGGAACGCTAGATGTAGCGATACCTGTATGACTGATCCTTTTATTGCCTGTACAAATCTAATGTTGACCATATGATATAATCTCGTTGTACAGTGTTGTCACCTTGGCTGCTTGCTTCTGCTTTGGACTACAGTACACCTCTCCATCTCCTCATCTTTATAGCATAGGGTTGTTCTGCAGTTAAAGTTACACTAAATTCAGGAGTTAAATCTTAAAAATGCATTCAACCACCCTAGGTAATATAAAAAATGTAGCTTGTTTGTGTCCATTACTCAGCTGTAGATCTTGAAATCATCTCTGAATTGGTCCTGACACTGTCCTTCCTTCTGGAGGGTGGCTACTTTTGTTCCCCATGTTCCCTGTGTGTGTTATAAAGTAGCCACCGCTCAAAGATCACTCCCGTGATGGACTACAATCTCAATACAAATTGGTAAACTAAACGTATAGAGACCATGGGGAACAAAAGTAGCCACCCTCCAGAAGGAAGGACAATGTCAGCATGGATTCAGAGATGATTTAAAGATCTACAGCTGAGTGATACACAAATAAACTACATTTTTGTTAATAGTTAGGACACTTGAATGCATTTTTAAGTTTTATTTCCTGAGTTGAGTGCACTTTAACAAGTAATCAACATAACACTGCTGGAGTCTTCACTGTAGAAGAGGCAGAGTGCGCAGGGAATTATCAGCTCACTAGATCTCTGGTAAGATCTACAGGTATTTATTTACACCTATGGAACTTACAGGACAAAATACTTTCAGTAGTATATTTACCAGACCAATAGGAAGCATATAAGTGAAGTTCATTGTTTTAGTTTACCCACACTTTAAATTACAGTCTGTGCTCTGAGGGAAATGTTTGCATTTTACCTGTTGCCAGGATCACATGGTGCATCTATAGATTGATCTCTATGCCAGCTAGCAAAATCCAAACAGCTGCCATTTGACACAATAAAGGCATCAAACATGATCAATAACAACAGCAATATAGTTAATATTGCTGATAAAGCGCAGTATTATCCTGTTTTCCAAAAACATTACATTCTTTTTGCAACTTTTGTTTAATTTTTATTTTAGCGAAATGCATTTAAGCTATGTTTCCAGAAAAGAAACACTTATAAACAATTCACTTAGCCCTTTTCAGCTGACTTGGTCCTTGCAGATCCCTCCTTTTACTAAAGTGTGTTGGTGCATAGAGTATTATGGGGAGGGGCAATGGGAGACCAAGACCACTCCTTCCCCATTGATAACACTCACACTCTTAGTGCACCCTTCCATAGACTCCTCCAGTGGTGTTGTCCAACTTGTCATCTGGTAAGTTTGCTTGACTTTCCTTAGTAGTGTAACAGTGCTGTTAGCTTTGTAAACCTACTGATCAGTTTAGCAGCAGTGCATTTCACTCATGTAATATGGAATGACCAATACTTCTATAAAAACATTTTATGCTTTGATTTTTTAGGAGTAAATTATTTCACTGTATTATACAAAAAGTAGCTTGCAAGTTAAAAAGTTGCAATAAACATATCCGGGTAATTAGAATTGTACAAATTCAATAGGATTACATTATTATAACCTACATGAAAGTAGCAAGCATTCATTTTACCTTTATTCTGTGTCCATGCATATCTCGATTTTTCATTTTCTGCATCAGAAATGGTGATTTTCTAAGTCAGTCTCTCATTAACAATGTCCTATGTATTTAACTCCTACAAAAGTTTTATTTGCACTTGAATACTTTTGCTGGTTTTGCTTCTGCTTGTGATTTGCATGTGCTTGTAAATCTTAAAAAGAGCTCCTTTGTTCTGCAAAGCTCTTTCATTGCGTTTCTGCAGGTTTTGAGCTATATTTTAAATTACAAAACAGAGCAGTGCTGAAATCTACAATGATTAGGAAGCTGTTCTAATATTAATGTTTTTTCTCCTTTTGATACCATGTTTCACAGGCAGTGCCTCAATAATTGCCTGTGTTTTTGACTAACCCACGTTTTTATTTTTCCTGCCCTGTCTTTCAGGAATTTTGGAATGCCAAATAGTTTCAGCTTCAACGCTTGTGAAGATTATTGATGCTTGGACACCCTTGAATTAAGAACCATCCGGCAACACTGAGCTAATGAGATGAGGCACTCCAGTGTAATTTCTGTAATTTTTTTGCTGCACTGCCTGGCTACTTTACAAAGCGTGCTGGGCAAAACTAACAAAACGGCCAGCAAGAAAGCAGAGCCTCCAACCTTTGAACGTTCAAGGCAGTTTACAAACAAACACAAACATGTGTGCACTTTGGAGATTGTTGGTGACGCAACTGTAAGTCTTTCATTAAGTTGTAATGAGCCAACCGGCAGCAGCTACAACTGCACGTATGAAGGGGAACCCCAGAGATGCCCTTTGTATGCTACAAAAGCCAAGCAGTACTGGAAACAGATACTGGGGAAAATAAAAAAAATGGAGAATACTTGCGAAGACAAAACCATAAAATCGCGCTTGTGTAGAAAATCTGAAGCTGTGCAGTCCCAGTTGAGGAAAATCGAAAGTGATGTTACTGCAGAACTGGAAAAAAGTCAAATTAAAGGGAAGGGTCGTGTGAAAGAAACTAGTAGGGGGCTGAAAGAAAGTCCACTTAACCCAGAAACCAATGAAAATGCTGGTGCTGAAAAGAAATCTGCTGCCAAAAAGAAGAAGCATGACTCAAAATCCCATCGAAACCCACACCCATCCGCTTTACCATCACTGCCTGACCTCACTACAGCCAGAGAGGTTAATGATGATATTATAGAGCAGAATGAGAATCTGGCAGATACCTACTGTGCAGAGAAGTGGCATTCATTGTGCTCTTTACTTGTTAATTTCTGGAATGGCTAAATCAAAGCTGGACGTGTGGCAGAAATGTGGCACTGCTGAGCTATTTAATTCAAGGCTAAAGCACAGAAATTCCCAACTAATTCCTTTGGACTTCTTAATACCTAACATAACTGACAAATCCCCCAATACATAAAAATACAAGTGTAGACTTGTCTGTATTCACAATAACTATTGCATGCAGACCTGATTTAGCTTATTTTGTACTTTTTATACTGTAACTAGTAGGTCATTGTGCTGTATTGTATTTTCTTTAAAAAATAGCCCTGTGTGATTCATGTCTGCTATAAAGTGATGATAAATAATGAAAATAAAACATTTTGGTATGTAATCATTACCATTACAAGTATTTGGTAGATTTGCATCCCTTATTTTGAAACAGATACATTAATTGTATTCACAATGAATTATTCTGCTAGCTGGTGCATGGACACAAACATATTTATTATAAGTAATAAGTGGACGTGTAAGGTGTCTGTGCAAAGCGCAGCAACCAATGATAGCCAAACAACTAGTATATTTTCCAATTTTAGTTGGTTGCTGCACTTTTCCCATATTAAATAAGTCTTATAAAGTCAAATTATGCAACATAAACTGTGTCCAATGCTTGCATATTTTAACATTGCTCCCCACAAATAGCCTTATATCTGAATGACCATTGGCAGGGGTAGAGACATGAATATAGGATTTAGCAATAGTTAAAAGGGTTAGTCTGCTCAACACAGATATTTCATTCTTTTTTTTTTTATAAAGGCTGGAAAGTTAAACTACCTGATATATCTTTAACAGCTCCTTGAGAGCTATCAAATTTTATCTGTGCTTGATGGATTTTTTTAAAATAATATGCATTATGGAGAATGCAGTAGGAGGATCTATAATGGGGATATTAACATCTCCCAGGTAGAAACAGAACAGAGTTAGGAAGTATGGCAGGGATACCTCACTGTTGCAGTTTCCAAGACATAAAAAGCCAGGGACTCACCCAGCCTATCTGTCTCCACCTGTAACTAAAATAAAACTTTTTGTGTGTAGTGACCCTTTCAGTTGGCCATAGATATAAGACAGAGGTTGGAAGCAGAGGCACAATCCGAACATCCTTAAGCATCTGTGTCAGCCAATTCATCTCTAATGATACTGTCTTTGTCCAGCTTATGGACCAGGGTGTGCTGCAGCCAGGCACGTCTAGTTCTACCTTAATTGAACTCGCTTCATGTACATTAATGCTGTCTCTGTCTGCTTTTCAAACCCAAGACAATATAGTCAGACCTTTAGTAAGGTTGGTTCTCTCCCAAACCATTTTAATCACAAGACATTGTACTGTATTGTAACATGCATTTTCAATATGAATTGCATATCAGACACAAAATAACAATATATTTATGAGATAGAAAGTTTTTCCATTCCCTGCTGACAAAAGTAGTATATAAAAGGTGTAATCCACAGTGATAGATTTTGAATCTGCTCATCTGTCAATAATCAAAATGAGACCAGAATTAAATAGCAAAAAAAATGTCTTGTTTTAGTATTCTGTACCTGTTTAATCCTTGTACTGAAGTCAAGCTGCTTTAGTGAGGCAATATAATAAAAATATATTTGCTAAGAGCAGTAACTATCACCATCCAATCAGCTGTGTCACATAGGGGGTGCGGGGATTGCCCACTGCACCCGGGTGACACACGCCAGGGGGTGACACCACTGCACCACCAGGTCCCGGTCTGCTCTCAGAGCCTGGGGAGACAGGGGACTAAATTATCACTTTCGGCGGCAAAGCACCGCAGAGTAATATCGGGAGCTGCGGCTCCCGATGATTAAGTTATAGTGCCAGCAGGCGGCACGGGCCGCCCCAGTACATCAGATATCAATATGCCCCAGCACTGTGGATTGACTTTCTAGTAGCCATTGGGTCTTGGGAAAGAAAAGGTATACGGCCCGCACAGAGAATCTGGAGGTTGCAGTGACGTGGGAGCCAAGGCTTACCTGAACTCAAGAGAGAGAGATAGACAATTTTTAGAGAGAGGCAAATTTCCCAGGGAGTGATATTATTCTACCCCCCGGGGCATTAGTGATCATTTTTCATTGCTGCCTGTGGGGATTTGTTGTTAATAACTCTTGATAACTAGGCTACATTCACATTATGTGTGCATGTGCGATTTGCAATTTCTGCAACAGGAATCCCAAATCTCCCATTTAGAAGTGGCACCTGTCATCTATAAGTGGCAGTCTGCCGGCACTCTGCATGTAATCGTATGTGATACGATTACATGCGGTCACTGTCCCTGGACACATAGTAGTGATCTATTCCAAACCGCATGTAACAGTATCATATATGATTACATGTGGGCAGCACAATGGCATAGTGGTTAGCGCTTCTGCCTTGTGCCACTCAGGGTGCCTGGTTTGAATCCTGAAAAGCGCTGCATAAATTGTTGGCGCTATATAAATATCTATAATATATAAATGTGGACTGCCGCTTACAGATGTAGCCACTGTCACACCTGTAACCGGCAGTCCACTGTCACCTGGTCATTAATTTGTAAGGGTACAGCAGCCGCATCTAAACGGGAGATTTGGGATTCTTGTGGCAGGAATCCTAAATTGCACATTCACACATAGTGTGAATGTAGCCTTAATAGTATTTCCCCACGTAAGGCAATAATAATCATAAGTAAATAATAATAAGTCAAAGCATCAGCATTTTATGGTCAACATTTCGACAGAGCTCAGTTCGCCTTTATCAAGACATGTGCAATGCCTTTGACTTATCTCCACTGGAAGAATGCCCGTGAGTGCCTCTATACCTACTTTGGATATATAGAAGGCAATTATCAAAACTGAAGTAGACAAATTCTGGAGCAGCTGTGCATGGTAACCAATCAGCTTCTATTTTACATTTTCAAATCTTAACTGAACAAACTGAAGAGAGAAGCTGATTGGTTGTCATGCACAGCTGCTCCAGTTTCGATAAATTCCCCTCACTGTATATAATATATATATATACACACACACTATTTACTTGTATTTTTCCCTCCAAAAGTGGGGATAATCCTTCTATTTATAAACAGTCACAGGTACTAAGTAAATGAGGACACTACAAAGATAAGTACAAGGCAGTATACTTGGGCTGTAAAAGTGTGGTTGCATTACTTTCACCAACAACTTTAAAGACACCCTATGAAGTCAATCTGCTGAGACTACAGCAAGTGTTTGCTTTTTTTAAAACCAGGACACGAATTGTTAAGTTATGATCAGCAACACTGACATTAGGCATTAAAAAGTCTGTTGAATTTCAGTGCTTAAGAAAACCACATGGGACTGAATGAATGGCACTGAACGGGACTGAAAGAGAAGATCCTGCTATTTTTTCAAAGCTCACTTGCAGACAAATATGAAACTCCGTTCCTTCCTACCTTGTGAAGAAATATACACTCACCTAAGTCCCCTGTTCCTTGCTGGTGCCGTTTCTTGATGTGGTGGACCACTAATACAGCTGCAGATCTGCCTACACTAGCTGGTCTCCAACAGTTTCCTCTCACTGACACCACTACTACTGCTGACTCCACTTCTGGATGCCAATAGGTTAGCTTAAAGTATACCTGTCATGAGAGAGGCATGCATGCACCTATTGCGTGCCTCTTATTGAAAATACTAGTGGCCTGGTTGTGTCTGGCTTCAATGGTTCTAATTTCAAAGTATTTTATTCATTTTCCACAATAAATATACAATTAATACAAACACTTTAGTGTCACCAAACCAACAATAATACTTCATTTTTACTTAAATATAATCTATTACTTATAAATATAACCAATAAAATGTGTGCAATGTGAAATATAATGTTATTGAAAATTCATTGATAAGGGAGCTTTGCTCATTAATATATATCAAAAACTATTCTTGTGTACTTAAAAGTGCCTTTGTTTAGCAGATTTCCATTATGCAATCAATATTCAATTAAACTAATAAAACCGCTATAAACCTTAATAAATAGTACTCCCAAAATTAATGAATGGGCCCTATCATAAATTCTCTCATTATACAGGTGAAACTCGAATAATTAGAATATCGTGCAAAAGTAATTGCAGTAAGTGCTGCAAAAGGGGCCCAAACCAAGTACTGAGTACATATGCATGCTTGTACTTTTCAGAGGTCCGATATTGTTCTATGTACAATCCTTGTTTTATTGATTGCATGTAATAATCTACTTTTTTGAGGTTGTGGATTTGGGGTTCTTGGGGTTTTTTATGAGCTGTAAGCCATAATCACCACAATTATGACAAATCACGGCTTGAATTATCTTGCTTTGCATGTAATGAGTCTATCTCATATATTAGTTTCACCTTTTAAGTTGCATTAGTGAAATAAATGAACTTTGCACGATATTCTAATTATTCGGGTTTCACCTGTATTTGAAGCCAAAGTGATTCATTCCTTATTACTATGACCCAGATACCTCGTGTAATAGCGAAATAGCGACTCAATAGCGAAAATACCAAAGCATTAGCATGACAGCTAGACAACTGCCATTTTCAGGACCAGTGGTCAGCAATGGCAGCTCATTAAAGGTTTCCTGTAAAGCTCAATTGAACTGTTTAAATCACCTTAATAAATTCCAAGTGCATCAAAATAAAGGGTGTTAAAAGTATTACAGTTTATTTTCCTTTGAAAGCTTGCGTACTGCCAGCATGTTGCATAGTGGGACCCTTGCTCTCTATGTGGAAGTAGGGATCTCCCTTCAGAGGTCCCACACACCCTGCTGAGCCCAAGTCCTTCAATCAGCATTAAACACAAGCTTTGCTGATTGCAGAGCTATAGGTCTGACTCAGTAGGGAGCATGTTGGACCTCTACAGAGAAACCGCTGCTTCCTCACTAAGCAATGGTCTAGCGGCTGCTAACATGGGACTGGCTTTTCTACTCAGACTGTAGCTGTAGAGAAAATAATCTGGAAGACATTAAACACCTTTTGTTTTAATGCACCTGGGATGTATTGAGCTGATTTAAACTAAGGGTTCACTTGGGCTTTAAGATCACAACATTCAATACAATGATAATATTCCTCACTGTCTCAATGTGGAGCTCCGATGTGCTCTATTTCACATTTGTTGTAATAAGCCTATTGTACAAAATAACTTCTGAAGCAAATGTTATTATTCATGCTTGGGGCTAGCACTATGCGCGGGGCAGACTTCAGAGGCTTCTGCCATCTCAGCTGAAAGCCATCTTTTCATTTTCCTGGACACTGCATAATAACATCTCATGTTTGAAGACATCATACAT